GCTCCCCGAGCACCAGCCCAGTGTTAGAACTCTCCCTGGGGTCGCTGCAGGATTCGATAAACAAGCAGCTGAGCGAAATGGTGGAGAGCGGAGAGGCTGCGGAGAACTACTTCTACATTTGAGACGCAGTCACGTCACTGCAAAGTTGCTCTGTTTACTAGAATCAGGCAAATGTGACACATTTGCCGTGTGAGAGCGGTGCATTTCCCCGTGTCCTCTGCTGACATTAGGGTCAGTCAAAATTGCCATTGAATCAGCACTTTAATCAAGTATGTCGGTGAAATGCATCAGTGCAGATTTAGACCTAGATTTGCTCACACACACACAAATATGACAAGTTTACAAAAGAGACAAGAACAATTTGCCAAGTGTCAGTGAGTTCACTTTGTATTTATGGGATTCTAAGGCTAATGATAGAAACCTTTCTTAGAATTCAATGAGGATTTGTAATATAAATAATGCCTGTTTTAATGTGATATGTAAATACAGTTTTACTATAAATACTGTATGTATTTGTTCATGGACATTACCTTAATAAAAAGGTATACAGTGGAAATATTTTGCACAGAGACTTTGCTTCAGAAACACTCCTGCAGCCCCTTGTTGGTCAAGGTGATGCTTTTTCTTTGTGGTATTTTTAGCTTTCTTCCCCCTGTGGAGAACACTCTGTACTTAAAGACACACATATATAGACTTGTGCACATGAACCCTACAGTGGAGCTGTGTGACAGCTCTGGCTTCATGTTCCTTTTTGCCCAAGGCTGCCGTGAATGCAGCGAGACAAGTGAAGACTCCTCAAGTGCTACGATGTCAGAGGTGGCTCTGCACCTTTTCACTGTAGTATTGATAGGCATAATAAAAAAGGGAGCGTGATCATCACTGAGATGTGTTGTGAAGTTCCTGTTGGGGGTCAAAGCTCAGGATGACGACTGAGGAGTTTAAATCAACATATTCTTCTTTATTCAACACTCCTTTTTTGCACAGGCAATTTAGTGATTTCCCCACAGCTGTGGTCTTGAAATAAAACCACAGTCCTCTTTGTCTGAAACCAAAACAAGGCTGAGTGAAATGTGGTTGATCCCAAGCTCAAGACCTTCAAAAAGTGTGTTTGTGTGACCAGTCTTTCGGTCTCAGCGTAATCCTGTCTCAGAGCTTTGAAGGCAGCTCCATCAGCTTCTGACATGCATTGTCAGCTTTGAGGCCTTATGTAGACAGGTGTGTGTGTGCCCTGTCCAATCATGTCCAGTCAACTGAATTTACCACAGCTGGGCTCCAATCAAGGTGTAGAAAGATCTCAAAGACGAGCAGGAGAAACAGAAGGCACCTGGGCTCAATTTCAGGTGTCTTTAATTTGCAAAAATGAAATTTAAAGAAATCCTGTTTTAGCTTTGCCATTATGGAGCAGTGAGGGTGGATTGATCTGTACTTATTTATCCAACCTTTATTTAACAAGGAGAGTCCAACTGAGATTAGGAATCTTGTTTTCAGGGGAGGCCTGGCCAGTGGCATAAGATAGTTACCACGGGCCCTAGTGCACGCTATTGTGACGGACCCTTGTGCACACTGGTTACTAGTTATAAGGCGCTAAGTTAGGGAGCTTTGCTTCTTTCTCCTCCTGTTTGTTTCTGTCTTTTCCTTTCTTACTGCCACTTTGCTGTAGAAAAAGCATGACTGCTCACTGGGCTTGTAGATGTCTTGACAGGTTTGGTGCCTAAACTAGCTACTGTATTGTATCGTCATGTCACATGATCAAATAGAGACTTGACATAAGGCAACATCAACATACATGCTACCCAACAATCATTGCATACCTGTATATGACACAAATATCAAAGGAAATAAGAAATTATTAATTTAATAGAATGTTGTTTTTTTTTTAGTTTATTCATATTTTTTATAGCTTATGTAGAATAAGCATAGAATTTGTTATAGAGAAGAAGAGAAAATATAACAAAGATGAGTTTGCATTTGCCTATAGCAAATGGCACCAGTTTAAATTTAATGCAAGTTCTTTTTTTAAATACAGGTGTGGTTCCAAGGTTGCAATCTGAATCATTCACAATGGCCCCTCCACCTCACAGGCCCCCTCACAGACCTGCACTGTCCATATCTACACCGGTGGACCTGGCCAAGATAGGCAGCAGCATAAATAAAAACTCAAAGCTACAGACAGAAAACACAAAATACACAAAAAGAGACCAATGAATGGGAAGTAAAGCAAAAGGAAATCACATTTAAAAGAAGTTGCTTGGTAACCAGGGTGATTAAAAACATCGGCATCTTAAGGAACAAATTCATGCCGAGGGTACAGAATACATAAATGCCCTTTTTCCAGTTTCTGAACAGGCATTTGGAACTGAAAGCATAATGAAATCTTGAGAATGCAGAGTTTTGTCCACCACTTTTCTGCGTGATAAGGACAAATAGGCAGTGTGGGATATACAAAATCATAAAGGACGACAATGAATTGCAATGACTTTAGCATCAAGCTGCATATTCTGAATGCACTGTATAGTGTGACAGCGCAGTGTGTGTATTGGTGCAGGTATGAGGGGATACACACACAAATTATTCAAATACAAAAACACACTCAAATTCAAACTTGACCTATTTAAGCACAAAGTGAACCATCATATTCCAATTTATCATTTGAGATAATCCTTTTTCCAGACTTCTATTAATTTCAGTGCAGAACTCCACTCGCTGCCCACATTAACTGTCCTTTGTTTTTTCAGCCGTGCCATAAGTGACTCACATTTGTTCCAAACTCTCTTTATTGAACTCCCAGTGGCAGCTGAATATTTCACTTACCGTTAGTCACTCTCTGGGCGACGCTGTTTGCGACTGATGGAAAGAAGTGAGTTGTTTCATTGTCTCATCAGGTCGTGATCTGTTCACATAACGAGGTTCTTTCTGCTAATACACTGAAGGGGACCTTGACCGCTGTGCGTTGGTTGACATGATCTCAGCATTGTGTGGAGACAGGGTGTTTTTTTCCTATTGAAATTTACCTTAATCTGCTTTCACTCTTGACGGCACGTAAGATGCAGCACTCAGTGATGTCTTGTTGAAACGTTTTATTCAATGCAGAATGCACCACAGAGTATGAACACACTGTAAACACCAAGGAATAATTTACAGAGAACAAACAACACCCTGTTGTACATCCTCCTCCTCAAACACTTGTCTCACTGTTTGTGTTTTCAACTCACATTCATCAGATGAAGGCTCTTCAGTGAAATATCATACAAAGATTTAAACCTGGCAGGCTGAGAAACTGGCAGAGTACTGATATTGTGTTTACTGTGAGCTGACTTCCAAAATTGGTGTTTTTGATTGCTTTCAGTGCCTGAATCGGAAAAAAAAAATATTGAAAGCAGACTGCAAGTACTTCAGCGGAAAATTGAAAAAAAAATGAAGATTGCTGTCTCCGCTCCAGAGAACCATATTTGCAATGAAAACAGCATTCTCACCAATTTACAGATGAAATCCAGGGTTTAAAAATGTACAGTGGTAATCTAAAACAAGCTCCCTCAACTGTACTGAGTCCTAACATTATCTAAGCAATTCATCATTTATCACAAATTTTTTTTTACGTTTCACAGTTTTGTTCGGACACAAAAAAAATGTCACGCTTCTTGTTAAGAGTACAAAGGCATGGCTACAATGTCAAAGGCAGCACAAAGAGATACTTCAGTCATGTTTCACTACATGTTGCATTTAAAGGCAGCGGGAACTTGAGCTCTTTTCAACCATGACGATCTTCTGTGACGATCTTTGTACTCTATGAGTCATCTCTTTGAGTTTTACACCCCAAAATGATGTTTCTGTCTACATCAAGAGGTGATTACATCCATCATGTTCACACCTGATCTTACAGTCCATTCATCAGGTAGTGGTAGCGTCCTGCGGGTCACAGTCATTTATGAAGTGACTCATTTTATTAGATGGCAGATTTATCAGCTGATGAGCTGAAGTGACTTTCAGAAGTGCACACGTGTCCCGATTTGTTTATTTGTTTCTGTACTCATTTTGTCTTTAAAAAGAGGGTTCACCCCAAAATCAAAAATACATCATACATAGTCTAAAAATTGATCGACTGGTTTAACGTAAAAAACTAAGGTAAAAAAATTGGTAGTTCCAACTCTGTCTAATCATGTACAACCAACATGATTTGCTTTGACCTTGAAAAAACATCAACATTACATTGGGCCAACTTAATATTTATCCAAAAGTTGTGTTGACATTTAGTGGCCAAAGTAGTTTATTTAAGATATTCCAACTTGTTTATTTTAATTACATCCTACTCAAAAAAATGTCAAAACTCTTTTTGATTTTGACCGACTTCTTAAAATAAGTTATCTACTGTTTGAAATTAATGAAACAAACTCATGTTTTAAATGCCAAAAAACATCTTAATTTTAAGTGTTATCCACTAACCGCGTGTGTACCTGTAGTGCTATTTTTAAATCTAGATTGTTTTGCTGTGTGTTGCCAAGTGTTGGAGATATGGGCCATAGAGATGTGTGCCTTCTCTCTGATATAATGGAACTAGATGGCACTCTGCTGCTCAGGTGCTCAAAAGTATTTTTTTTAGGGCAATTGATTAAAATATTTAATCAACAATAATAGCATGATTGTCCACAGTTAACTCACAATTAATCACAAATTAATCCCACATTTTGTTATCTGTTTTAAATGTACCTTAAATGGATATTTTTTATAGTTTTTAATACTCTAATCCCATCACATATTGATGTTTTGGTCACGGACTCTCCACGTTCATGTACGACGTGCACTCTTGAGATATTCTGGGTGCATTGGTTGTTGACGTTCTGGGACACCATGTCAAGTTTTGCCTGTTACATGCATTGTCTTCTTTCAAGATACACTTCTTTTTTCACAGGAAATAACTGCACTACGTAGGTACAACACTGCAAATTGATGTTTTTTTCCTTCAACAACAAACGCATGTGAATGGGTTTAGGAAAACACTGCTCTCTTGGGTGAAAGTCGATGTTTGTTGGACCCATCCACCACCTGTCCCGCCCGCCACACTTGGACTTTTGCCGCCTGAACTTTCATCCTTGTCCCGCAGCGTTTTCCCTTGACATTGTCGGGCGCCGTTAAACTATAATGGCAACCAGCCGCTTGTCATGTCGACGATAAAGGAGGCCTTTTTTGCTAGTTTCTGATGCAAAGGATGCTAAAGGACAGGTTTTTGAGTCCGTGTCTGATGCTGCAAGTCACTGCTCAAGCGACGACTTTAGTGAGACCGGGCCACCATGGCAAACTCAAGCCCAACATGCATCAACAGATGGACGTATTGACCTGAATGTAACATTACGTAGTAATACTAACACAATGTACTGTCCAACTTAACACTTGTAGAGCTTAACTAAACATTGCCTGTTTTCTTTAAGCTCCTCAATGTACTCCTGCAGTAACTTAGTTCGCATCGACTGTACATGCAAATAACTTTGGTCTTGCTGAAAGAACCATTTGAAGCTTTGAAGCTGAACTTGCCATTTAAAAAAAAACCTCTTTATCCATAAAGATAAAGAGCTCACGGAGGTTTGTTTCTGCTTGCCATCCACAACGTTACTGCTGCATCACTTCCTGATTTCCCAAACTACAGGGTGGCCCGAGGGTCATAATTACAGAGCGTACATGCATTAATCGCATGTCATAAAACTCGTGAATAACGCGTTAATCTTGACAGCCCTAATTTTTTTTTGGTCCTTTGAGCACTACAAACCAAGTGAAATTGATTTTAATTATATTGGAGAGAAGGCAGATATCCCTACGGCTGATATCTCCAACACTTAGCAACTCACACTACAACAATCTAGACTGATAAATGGCACTACAGGTAAGAGAAAATATATTGAAGATTTTGGGTTGAACTGTTCCTTTAAGGATTTTAAGTGTCACATTCTAACAGCTGACTTCATACACATCAGTGTCTGGCTTGTTGGTGATCTCTGGACATGAAGGATATGCAGGGCAGACAGGCAGATGAGGGCAGGAAGGGCAGGTTGGGTATCTTGGTCGTTTGAAGCTCAACAGCAGAGCACCTCCTCCCAACACCTGTAAACATGATCCCAGCCACCCTAAGTAGAGCGAGCCAGCTGCACGCAGGGTCAGCTGAGGAAACCTGGGGTTATTGATCCCCTGACTCGGATCTGCCAACCCCAGTCTTGCAAGGTTGTGTGTGTACACCCCGAGGGCAGTCAGGCTCAGCAGCCCACCAATCATCACCAGGAGTCCACCTGTGGCTGCTACACCTCTCAGAGGTATATCTGTCCAACACCGCACCCCGATGCATGCTAGAACGATGCCAGTGCCACACAGGAACAACGAGGTCAGGATCAAACCTTGTGCCAGGCGAACCCTTGGGTCTCTCTGATAAGGACCTGCCACGGGCCAGCACTGCTTCAGCTCCGAGTGCTCCACCTGGAGGCAGCTCTCCCAAAGTCCGTCGGAGCGCAGTAAGAGCAGCGACTCCACCGACCCAGACCTGACCCCTGTGCCCTGACCTTTCACTCCCGACCGAAGGAGCGACCCCGACACTGCCATGCCCAGACTTGCCTGTCCTTCTCTCCACTGAGGGGTGATGGCGGCAGTGAAGACGAGCACCAGTCCCAAAGGGGCGAAGACAATCCCCATCACCATGGAGGCTGGAGTGTGCATTATACGGGGCGCCACCTTGATTCTTTACCAAAGCTCTCAAGATGATTAAGTAATTAGTCAAACTAAAACATACCAGCTGCACCGTACCTGTCCTCAAAGTGATTTCCACTGAGAGCAAAACAAAGATGCTGCTGCTTGTAATTACTGTGGGACCCTTCAGAGCAGCGTGGATCTGTTCAGAGAGGATGAGACAAGATTACAACGATAATGAGATACTGTTGTTTCTCAGTGTTCACTAGACACTGCCAATCTGTGTCTTTGAATAAACAAAGAACTTAAAATTTCCCCTCAATATAGGTTTAAATCAGCCATTAGCAAATGCACAATAAAAGTTCCATCGCTGAATAAAGACAAGTTCGTCCATTACCTCTCCATTGAAAGTCTCCTCCCTTTTAGCTGCAGGCTCTCCATTGTGTCTGTCTGAGTGAAAGAGAAAGATTCAGTCAGAGAGTGTTGTGGTTGCAGTGCTCGTCAGGTCCGAGTGATGGAGCAGAGAGACGGCGATATGAGAAACAACAGAGGTGTGAAGCGGAGCAGAGACGACAAGCCGCTCCAGCAGCCGGAGAAAGCAGAAGGAGGTCTGGCTTCAATGCTCCGGCGCTGGACAGGAAAAGACTGAACGGTCGATGCCTGTCTCTGTTGCTAGGATACGATAACCTGGCCAGTCTCAACGTGACAGTGTGTGTGTGTGTGTGTGTGTGTGTGTGTGCCTTTATTAGACCCATCTATATACAAGAACTGATTGCCTTCGGTATACAAATGTTGGCATAGCTGAATTCTGTTCAGTGTGTGTGGGTGTGTAGGAGGGTGTGTTGTTGTTTTCTCAAAGCCTGACAGTTGATGGCCAGCTATGACCTTGGAAGAATTCAGTCGGGTTAGTAATTACGTTGGGCCAGTGTCTGAATGCAGAGTGAGTCCATCTACGGTGTCTCAGTCCGGAGAAGGAGAGGAAGAAACAATGCCCCCTGGGACGGAGGCAAAACAACTTGAAGATGTGTGTGACTCATGCACACACACAAACACACACAAACACACAGGCAGCCACAGTCAGTGGTGTCCTTAATGAGAAGAATCAATCTTGTTTAATTTTCCTCAGCAGGAAGTACAGATGTTACAGTCAGCACACTTTATAGTGCAATTTTCTTAACCAACTTTCTTTAGAAACCAAAACCACACTGGGATGATGAAATTTGTACCACACAAATAAAATGAGCGTAGAATGGACATTCCCATTAAATCATCTTAGATGGATGATCAGAGTGGCAGCCATTTTTATGTATACTAACTACTACTGCAACAATTATAGCGGGCTAATGCCGTGTTAAATTTATCTCAGAAATCAGAGGTCGGAGCTCGGAATGACGTCACATCTGAGTTGATCGCGTTCCAGTGCAGCAAATCAGAAAACCAAGATGTTGTTAGTACGGCTGGGCAATATGTCCTGAAAATTATATTTTTCAGCTATATCTCAATACTCGATACTCGATACTCTCGATATTTTTTAAACCTCCTCAAAAGCAATTCATTAATGCTAGGGCCAGGAGACAAAATCTAACATAACAATATCTCTGGCCAGATACCTTCTCTGATGCGACAAAGTTGTAGGGATTGTAGGGATGTAGGGCACCATTTATGCCATATCACGATACAATGATATCCAAAATCTAAGACAATATGTAGTCTTATACAACAGTTAGTTCCAGCCCTGCAATCTGATTGGTCGAGAGACAGTAAAACCGTGACGATATTGGAGTACAACATCACGGTTATTTCACTGTGTATGCATCACTCTGCCTCACAGCTGATTGCAATCAACAATCAAATCAAAACTGACGGTTAGTGTCAGTTAGGTCAGTAGTTGCGTTGTAGGCTAGTTAATGCATCCACTGTCAAACAGCCAAAAATATGGATTTATTTCCTAAAATAAGTTTTGAATTGAACTATGAATGGTCATCAGAGGAAGATGAGGGAGAGGAGAAGCTGAATCCATCTGAGCACACATCCAGGTTTGTCAGTGTTTCATCAGCGGAGCTCAATGACTTGGAGAAAAGCAACATACTGTCAGATCAGAAGGCAGAGTCGGCCGTGCCTGTGAAGCGACAGTCCACCATGCAATCACCAGAGACTTATTTCACCGGCTGCACAATTAATGGAAATGTGCAGATAAATGTGTATAAAGAGTAAGTGCCTGGCGCACCATGTCTGCGTTACATAGCAACGGTGACAGCGGAGTCCTGAGGGAACTATTTTTGTTGGCGGAAGACAAATAAAATGCATAAATTATCTGCGGCCTCATGCCTATGACCGAATCACAGCCGTGACGATATATGTGTAAAACATCACTCCCTCTCGTGTGATATTGCTTAATTATATCTCAACAATGATATATAACATTGTCATATTGCCCAGCCCTAGTTGCTAGCAAAACCAGTTCTAGGCAACTTAGACATTTTTAGCAATACCACTTCTAGCCAACTTAGACATTGTTAGCAATTCCAGTTCTAGCCACCTTAGACATTGTTAGCAATACCAGTTCTAGCCAACTTAGCCATTGTTAGCAATTCCAGTTCTAGCCAACTTAGACATTGTTAGCAATACCAGTTCTAGCCAATTTAGACATTGTTAGCAATTCCAGTTCTAGCCAATGTAGCCATTGTTAGCAATTCCAGTTCTAGCCAACGTAGCCATTGTTAGCAATACCAGTTCTAGCCAACTTAGACACTGTTAGCAATACCAGTTCTAGCCAACTTAGCCATTGTTAGCAATTCCAGTTCTAGCCAACGTAGCCATTGTTAGCAATACCAGTTCTAGCCAACTTAGACACTGTTAGCAATACCAGTTCTAGCCAACTTAGCCATTGTTAGCAATTCCAGTTCTAGCCAACTTAGACAGTTCTAGCCAATTTAGCCATTGTTAGCAATAGCAGTTTTAGCCAAGTTAGCTATCAATACCAGTTGATAACAAAACATTTTACTGCATTTTGAGCTTACAAACACTGTGGCAACATGTCCACAGATAGAAGCTGGACAGGTTTTTTTGTGTCAACTGTTTTAGTGAGACAGAGTAAGACAAAAGTGTTGACAAACAGTATACTATCACAGCTTTCACTGCCTTTAATGTGCAGAGCAGCCATGTTGGATTTTGAGGTCTGTTGGTGTGGTTCCTCCAACCTCCCGAGTAGGAAATCCAACTTCAAGGAGTGTTCCAGTTGAATTTTCCAACCGAGAACCAACTATATCACATGGTATGGAGAACAAACATTACATACAATAACAAAACAATGGCAAATGGCAAGGCTTAAGTACAACCAATGTTACTTAAACAAAGGAAGGACATTCTTCAAAAAACACCTAGTAATTTGTCACCTAGTACAAATTACTTTGGCTCATCTGATTGTAATAACAAAATTAATTTAATCATAGAGAGACAGTTTAAATAATGCTTTGGCAAATATCTTTCTCTGTAAGTCATTAGGTTTACATTCGGACGACGTAACAAGCAGTGGAGAAGTAGTGTTACATTTGCAGATAAGCAATCCATTACTTTAAAAAAGATATCACTGTAACTGTTCTTTCTGTGTTCATTTTGATGCCATTATTTCATGATGCACTGTAGCTGCCTCCAAAGAAGGAATGAGAGTCACTGCTCAGCACACAGCTGAGAGGCACAGAGAGACCATGGGGATAAACAGCATGTAGAGCCAGCAAACTCGGATTGGTGCAGGGTTGTATTTTTCTGTTTAATAAGAAAACCAGGTGTGAGAATAGTCCAAAACGGCGTTATCAAACTAGTGAGTTTGACGCACTTAATGCCTCCACTGACATGTGTTGTCACCATAACAACTAACAACAATTACCTTCCTTTTTTTGTACTCAAATGGCCATGACAAACAGTTCAACAACAGCTCTACTCTCATTTTATTACCGTATACGAGACAAATAACTCTCTCTGAGTTTTCTGTGATTTTAATTGAATCCAAAAACAAGCACCTCCTACTTGCAATAAATAAGAAAATAAGGAATTAAACATTAAAACTTAAATGTAAAAGGTAACTAAATAACTTTATATAAAATAATTATCCCTATCGAATATGGTTACGCTTTGAGTAATGTAATGAGCATTACCTTTTACCCACTGATGGGTAGGGTTATAAACTGCTGAGTTGTAATGACTGGAATATTTTACACCAAAGCATGTGCCTACTATGTACGAATAAATTAAATTAATTAAATTAAATTAAATTAAATTAAATTAAATTAAATTAAATTAAATTAAATTAAATGGCAACTAAGGTCACTTGTTTTTAGCAACAGCCAAAAAAACCTCAATAAAAGAGTCGCAAAAATAACAGTGCTGGCACAAACCCTGTGCTGAATTCACATTTATTTTTATACTTTAAAAGCACATGTGTAACACATTTGCAAGACATACCGTAAACAATCATAAATCATTTTATGGAGAGGATGCTTAGCCTACATGAATTATATCTGTAAATTTGATCTAATTAATGTCAGGACATTTCACCTCTGGAAATGTCACTGGAGGGTGGATGACATTTAGACTGATCAATCACCTTTTAGGGTAATTGGAAATTTAATTTAGAAAAGATCAAAGACAATTAAGATTCACTGCCCTGTGCCTGAATATACAAGAATAGAATATAAGATACTAAAGATTTAATAAAGTGAAAATGTGTCACGAGAATACATGTTGATGCTGCATAACTCGAAGTGAGTGGAGTGTAATTTTCATAAACACATACCTGCCATTAAATGTCATCTGCATCCAGATTGATGTGCCAACATTGCAATTAGAAACATGGCATTAATTCCTGCTCTGCTGCTGGTATGTTCTGACTTTATGACGGGAAGGAAGGGTGATGACACACATGAGGATCAGGGACCTGACCCAGCTGTCAGGACATGGACAGCTTCTCTGTTACGGTAACACTTGTTTTCACTGAGCTTTGTTTTTTTCTCAATAATCATTTAAACGCAGTGACTTGAGCAGATGCTGAGATCTGTTGCGGAGATGGCAGGAGGGATGTTATGGAAACATCTGCAGAGAGAGAGGCACAACACTGGAGAGGCTTGTGATGAATTGAAAATGATGAACATACTGTAGGGTTATTAATAGCCCAAACAGTTTCTCTCATGCTGCAAACACACACATACACACACTAAGACGCAGTCCGTGGAGTCACAATCACTTACCATTCAGGAGGGGTTGTTGGTATCTCACTGCAGATCGCTGGCTGCCTCCCTGCTCTTGTCTGAAAGGCTAACATGTTTCTCTCCCGGGCAGCAGATGGTGCAACCACCTCTTCATTATTCCTGCGCTCTCTTCCTGCTCATTCATCCTTGCTTCAGCAGCGTCCCCATTCGTCTCTGCCTCCTAATTGTCTCTGTTTGTCCTTGTGTCTGTCCCCCTTCTTTTTTTTTTCTGTCTGCATGCCTTTCTGTCTGCCTCCCCGACAGTCTGCCTCTCTGTCTCACTTTCTGTGCATGTGTGCCTCTCTCTTTGACTTGCTGAAGGATGTCTGCGTTATATCTAGGACAGGAGTGCCTCCCAGCTTTCCCCTGTCAATGTCACCAAATAGGGAGAGCTTTTCTGAATATGCCAACATGTGTGTGATGCCTATTTTGGAGCTCTCAGTGTGATTTGTTTTTGTTTGTATTTCCATCTATGTCTGACCCTCATTAACCTCACATACACACTGACACATGTACAGAACATAAGACCAAACCTCTCTGATGCAGATGGGATTCATGCTTTTGTTTGATCTATAGAGAGCCGATAGAGCAACCAGCTGTTTCTACATTTTCAATATGCACTTCACATCAAAAGCCGTGAAAGAGAAGATAATTGTAGCTGCACACACACAAACAGGAGGCATCTCTCGTCCTTATCTTTTGTTTGTCCCGGTGATAATTGATCCTTGCTGTGCCTTTCAATCAGATCTGTGTGTGTAATAACAGAGACACAGCCACAACACCTTATTATGCATTTTCTTTATTTTTGTACAAAAGAGGCAAGATGTGACGAATACAACCAGATTTGCCGTGTTATAATAATGAAATATTACAAGGATACATGCTTGTTTTGAAATGATGCGCAAGGGGGAAAAAAAAAAAAAATCCTGAAACTTTTTACACACACACGTACACATGCACACTCTGAAAGTCCTCTGGCAGGCGTCAGGGTTTTGGGGTGGGGTTTGAACTGTGGTTACACCATACAGGCAGGAAATGTCCACAACTTTTGACTAAATGATGGCCAATACTAAGTCTTGCGTGGTTTTACGGGTGGAAATGTCTGACTTTAGGTTCTGAATTAAACCCGGCATCTGGGCCATTTTAGTCGTGAAACTAACAGGAACCTACAGGAAGATACTTGCGGCGGTGAGCAGGTTGTGGGTGAGGAAACGCACCATTGACTCTTGTAGAAGAAATGATGAATACATTAAAAGCAGCAAAGATAGCAACCTCTGAAAATGCTTAAAACATACTGCCTGTACACACACTTGAAATACATTGCTAGTTTGTGTAACATGGATTGCAACATGCACATGGCGAGTTCATAAAACACTGTCATATTAAAATCTATGTACAATATATATACAGGCTTAATTGCTCTTACGTTAAAATATTAAATTCAAATAACAAAATCATAGCGCGAGTGGTATTCACAACCTCTAGAAACGTTTTTAACTGGAAAAAACTGGAAAGGTCTCTTCGGCCCAGTTCAATCATTGGTCCACAGCTTACATTGTCTTTGACTGGGCAGTGCTATTAGAGATGGTTTAAACTGGCAGCTGGGATCTGTTTACATCCTTCAGTGGAGCAGGCGGCTGATGGGACGCCGGCTCTCATACTTCGATGAGGGTGACCTGGAACTGACCGCCGACGACCTCGGACATCTCGATGAGGAAGGCCGACTGGTTGGTGTAGTGTTCGATGATGTTGTCGTCCATGTTGACGAAAATCCTGAAGAAAAGACAATCAAGAAATGCAAGGTTAACCTCAGTGATCGTGAGGACAATGACAGGTTGATCTGTGCAATCAAATGTAGATTAAAACCTAAGTTTGTGTATTCATCGAAAACAACAAGATATAGTGGCTAACTCATCGGATCTTCAAAAACGAAGACCTACAGTGGCTGAATCATTTTGGCTCTTAAGGATTTAGCCACTCCAATAGAGGCCTTTCAGTATTTCTTTTCTCACTGCTATATCTTTTGGAGTGCCTGGATTGCCTTCCTGTATATAAATAAAAACATCTTCAAAACTAGGACGTGCAAATCGGCTTGAAGACGTGCCGTGCCCTACTTTCCGCCCAAGTATGCGTTTGTGTAAGCAACATGTCATTTATTTGAAGGAAGCTTCTCAGGGCGTAAAAAACCTGGTGGTGGTAAACCTCCTGCGTCGGTAGGGGTAGTAAATCAGGTCACTGTCTTTCTCCTCCCCAACACTAACACTAACCTTAAAGTCTTTAAGGCTTTAATGACTCGACTAACCAGCGGCTCATGCATTCTGCCTGCAGGGACATGGCTGATTGAAGACACAAGCAAGAAGAGGAGGGAGGGAACTGCGGGGAGAATGTCACCCAACCTGTTAGCTTAGCTGCTCCCCCCCTGAAGTGATAGCTGCCAGCAGCACGCAGCAGGATAATCACCCAAAGGTGTTTCAGTCTCTGTCAGGAGGTCTTATTTACATCTCAAGAAAGGGCCTCTGATCTGCTCTGTTATTTTACAGGAGGTGACCCAGACTATTATCAGCTTGACAGCTGCCGAGTGTGTTGATGCATTAGTTAAAAATCCTGCTGAAAGAGACGATAGTAGATCTTTGTGAACCATCGTAAGAGAAGGTACCACCTTTTTTCCAAGTACTTTTAAGGAAATTAAACACATCAAAATCCGTTTTTTAGTTAACTCAAAGCACCTTCAACTCTTACGAACTCACTTCACCTATCTCAATGTGACACGGAACATTGTCATGACAAAAATAATACCGTGACTTAATGGACAACCTCCAGTGAGTAACTGGAAGGCTTCAACTTTACCACACCAGAAATCTCTTTCAACACTGTAAAACTTCCTGATGTTCTGATGAGGTTATGAAAACATAAATACAACAATTGCCCATGACTCATCTGCAGGACTTTTGAAATCTTTTCATCCTCCCTCAGTCACCTGTCTTTCTTTTTTGGACGAGCTGCAATTAACACATTCCAGGAGGCTGAGCCAAACAACCTACCTACCCAGTCTGTCGACATGAGCTTCCTTAAAAAGCGAAAAGATTAAAACCACTGACTACTTTAATCCAACTTAGACACAATACCATAGAGACAATAAGATACTCACCCTCGTTTGCATTTTTTGTAGATCTTCCCAATGGTGTCTTTTTGCACACCGTACTTTTCTGAAACCTGAGGACGGGAAGGAATACGAGATGACGGTTAGCATTATCTTCCGCTGAAAGAAACTCGATACACTTGAGAGATAGCGTACGGAAAAGTTTGCGCTATGTGAGCGTGAACAGAGACGAGGTGGAGCTGTATGTCGCAACCTCTGTAATCAGGTCAGATAATTCAGGAATGCGTTTGAAGTTTGTTACTTACAGCTTCCCGTAGGCCTGACAGCGTTGGCGCATTGAGCATGAGTGCATCAAAGACCTCTTCAGCGGGTGTCCTTACATACAGAAGAACTATTGGAAAGTGATAAAAGGAGTCAAACATTTAGCACAAAAGACGAGGAAAGCTCATTATCTCGTTATTGATTTTTAAATATACGACTTTTACCTCTTTGTGGGTCTTCTCTGCGGGCTAGCTTGCTGGGTGGAGAGCTGTTCTGGTCTCTGTCTGGATACAATCTCTTCATAGAACTCCTAGAAAAGCAGAGCAGACGTTCGCATTAGACTTGCACCAGGTGTTAATTCGGAAAGTTGTTCGAAATTCAGTTGTATGCTGTTAATATTGCCTTATGTTTACTACGCTTACCTGTCAGTCTCATCCATGGGAGGGGCCTAGATAGACAAAGAGACCAGAGATCTGATTAGAAAGCACTCTGCTGATAAAAAAGCATTGCTTAAAGTCACCTTTCCCACCATTGTCTGTGTGTAATACGTCCAAAAAAAGGAATGTTATCATCACTTAAGGACTGTGTTTCCCATAACGTCTCACAGAGCCACGTAAGCGTGGACACTGATGGAAAGACAGAGATAGGAGACCATCTTACGCATTATCGTGCCGGCCAATCAAAGATGTTTACTGCCTTAGCCATTCATAACAGACAGATTATTCAGAGTGATTGTCTACATGAAATGTAAATGCAGAGACGTCCTCCAGTGTCTCATTTCCTCTGCTCGCACGGACACACACACACACACACTCTCATACACATCCCTATAGACTCTATGGTGTGGGAAAACTGGCCTGTCTGAACAGCACTCTCGCCTCACAAAGTGTGTATGTGTCAGTGTGTGTGAGAGAAACAGAAAATATGAGGGTGGTGCATACTGTATGTCAGGTGTCTGTTGCACCAGGTGTGTGTGTGTGTGTTTTTGTGTGTAAGCCCCCATAACTTAATCTCACTGTCAGCAGCTGTAGCGGCTTGTACCTGTGCCTGGTTTCGACTCCAATTAGCTCATCCAATATCATGTCTGTGTTTCGCCTCACTTTCCCTGGCACCATCCCCTCCCCTTTTCCCAGCCCACTTTTCCCACTACATACTTTCCCACAGTTTTTTCCCTGTGCCTCTCGTGCCTGTGCTAGTGCCTGCAGGGATACAGGGGTCGGGAGCATGAGTCATTCAACACAGTAGGAGAGGATTTAGTTAAAGGTTGGGACCTACCATGCGCTGTAAGCTGTTGACGTGTGTTTCTGGGATAAAGAGGACCGGCTGGGTGACGTGGTCATCCAGGCTTTGAAATAAGGTGCTGTCGCTGCCCATGGAGCTGCTCACTAAAGATTTGTTGGCTGGAAACAAAAGCAGGAAGTTAGAATACACTCTGCGTTTGTATATCAGACCGCGAAACGATCATCTGTTTGCAACACTCACTGTTAGCATCGGCCTTTCCCCTCCTCTTGCTTCTCTTCCTCTCCTCGTCACGCATCTTTCTCTCTGCACCCTGAGGACATGCAATCACATGGTTACAAAAATGACTCCACATAGATTTTTTTGGAATGTGTGTGTAAGACAAGGCAAATTAAGTGACGTACCTTATCGCAGAAAATCTTGACCTGGCAAGCGGCTCTGTGTAGGAGCTGGTTGGTTCCTGAGCTGAAGTCGTAAGTGTCGATCTGTAGGTTTAGAGGCAGGCCCTTCACTCCCTTCTGAGCGGAGAAGTCTGTGCTCAGGGAGTTGATGCCAATGTACACCTGTGGGAATAGGAGCAGGCATTTTAAGTACATCATGTTGACATCCTGTCTCCATGTCTTGCATTAAATGTACATGTGTAGAGACATAATGACACTCTGCCTTACTCATTTTTGCTTTTTTAAATCATTAAATAAATTAAGTCTTAAGCCTCTATATCCTCACATTTTCTGCGTATAATTCCGCTTCTTCCTGCTCCTCTCCACCTGCAGCAGGTTTGGTGGCCCCACCCCAGCGCCTTTGGGCCACGGAGAAGCACGAATAAGCCACCGTGGCCCTTGCCCGCTGTGGTGACAGGAGCCTCAGGGCCAAACACATTTCTGGGATTCCTCCCCTCCCTCCTCAGCCACTCCTTCTCCTCTCCACCTCCCTATTCTACCTTTCCTCTCTTTTCTTCTAAACCTTCTACCTGTCGCGTTCCTTCCCTCTTCGGAGAACTGGCCTCGCAGAGCCGGGTTATATAAAAACATCTATGCATGTTTCTGTGTGTGTGTGTTTGTGTGTGTGTGTATGTGTGTGTGTGTGTGTGTGTGTTTACCTTGGCCTCTTCACTGGGGTTCCAAACAAAGGAGAGAGCGTTGAAGGCCACCTCCTCTATGTTGCTAATGCCGCTGAACACTTCTTTGTAGTCCGCTGCGAGAGAAAAAAAGAAAATTGAATTGTCTTTTCTGCGGGAAATAAAACCTTTTCAGGTTTCTAATCAGATAAGAATGATGAGTCAATTCTCTTATGTAACACCTAACAGAAAAGTGAGGAAATCTTTCACTTAGTGTCCTCGGTGTACGTGTCTGCACGCAGGTGTCACTTTGCATACGTATTTTTCATGTGTGACAAACATACCGATGTCAATGACCCTCTGCTTGGCGGTTGGCTGACGTGCGTGCCAGTGATTCCAAAAGCGGAGCTGCATTTCTGGGCTCTTGTCGTTCTCGAACACAGCCATCACGACCGTCTGAAGTGGGGAAAGAAAGGTGACAGAGAAGCAGATGATTAGGTTGGCTTATCAAACTGAGGTTAGGTTTAATTTATCACTCCAAATCCCTCTTTTCTGCCCACATTGTCACCAGGTATTTGCAGTGAGCGGGTGTGTGTTTGTGTTTATTCTTATCCTCTGATTCCTCTGACAAAGAAAAGGTTTGTCGCCTGTGTTTTAAAACCACACCACACCTCCTCCCCGCTCCTCTTTTTTTTTCTACCCTGCTTTAGAGCTGAGCTCCGCTGCACTCTGGCCTCATTACACCACCGTAGGAATAAATTATACAGGGCAGGACACTGTCATTTTAATGGTGCCACCCCAGTGTGCAGGGTGTCAGTAGGGCATTAGTCACAGAGGAGCTGGCTCCAAGGGAGGGACAGATATTTGGGAAGGGTTTGTTTGGTGGCACGCACGGAATTTATGTACTCATGGGCCCGTGAACAAAAAGCCCGAAGGGAAGGATGCCACTAAAAACAAAAGCCACCAATATTTTTACGTAACTTACACACCGAAAAAACAAAAACACCTCTGGAGAAACATTACTGGCACAAAAAATGCTTGTTCCTTTCCTGATGATGTGTCACCATGACTCACCTTGACTTTAGTGACACCGAGGCAGGCACTGCTGTCCACTCCCTGGAGAGTGATGGGGTAGAACTGGCCCTTGTTCAGGTAGACCATGGGCAGCTCGCTGGACTTGTAAGGAGAAGCCACAGGAGCTCCCAGGGAAAACTGGAACTCACTCCTGAATCTCTCTTGTGGGGAGCCGGTGTAGGAGCCTGAGTAGACAGGGCTGGGCTGCTCCTCGGGGAAGGGATCGCTGTAGGGAAGAGTCTGAAATCCACAGAAGGGCATTTATTAGTGAGAGGAAAGAGGAAGAGGCCTGGAGGAGCTGCTTTTGAATAATGATGCTAAACACACCTCAGTGCTGGGGTCAGGGAAAGCACCGGGCTCAGGCCACTTCTGCAGCAGGGAGTCAAAGATGATGTTGAGCTCCTGTTTGTCGTAAGTGTCCGCCACCACACTGGTCAGGGTGGCGTAGGTGTCTGAGGTGGTGGGCACAGAAATTGGCAGGGAGGTGCTCGGCTTGGATCCCAGAACCTCTTGGGCTGGATGGCTTACGGGAACGCTCTCAGAGAGGATCCTCATGACGTTGGCGGACGCCTCCAGCGCAGCAAGCTCATTGCTTGGCGTCCTGTAGGGGGGAGGGGAAAAAAATGGGTGAGGAAGTTGGAGATGAATCACAACAGGAAAGCCACTTTTGCGAGATCAGCATGACTCTGTAATACTCCGCCCAGGTGCCAAGAGGGAACAAGGAAACAACCGTAAAGTGACTACCTGCAGCGTGTGTTAACATTACAGGAGCACCGCAGACGGCCTTGTGCAAACGTACAACAGTCAGCACACACAGCTACTGCGAGGTGAACTCATGGGAAGACAGCCTGGGTGGGTACTGTTTGTTTCTTAATCCGCCTTTTTTTCTTCTCTGTGTTTGAGTTTCTCTGCTCAAAATGTTTGAGGGGACAACACTGCGCCCCGACAATGGCCATTTCTCACCCACTCTAACAAGGAGGAGGAATGGGAAGGAAAAACAACCGTCTGTCTGCCTGTTGTGAAACTCTTTAAGAAAGGCAGGGATGATGATAGAGAGAGGATAGATGGATGGGAAGACGGGAGAGGAAGACAATGAACCCTCTGACTGTGTTTGACTTGGGGATTACCTACTCACCTGTTCATGGCCTCCCAGAGCCCTGCCTTTCTCTTTCTGTCCTAACACTCTCTAATGCTCTTAACTCAGTGACAACAAAGGATGGGCATTATAGGGGGACACTTGATTTATAGTTAACACTTCCTGATAAACAGGAAGTAATATAAACACGCATAAATTCAACTTACCTCTCTGTTTTGCAGATGTTGTTGGCGCGGTTGCAGCTAGTAATCTTCTGCTCTTTCTGGTTCTGGAAATGTACGAGAAAATAGATATTAAAACACTGGTCAAAGTGAGAACGTTTGAGAGAGGTTTAAACAGTTTAAAAGTTATTACTGATGCTACGTTATCTACCTTGCACTGTTCATAAAGCATGGTTAAGGCTGTCAGGTCGTCTCCTGGGTGGAGTCTGGGTTTGGGGTGGTTTTGCTCGGGGACAGGGCTGTCCAGGTAGGACCAGGAGTCCATGACGTAGTTATTGTAACGGTTATAGTTGAAGTTCTCGCTCTGAAAGACCAGTCCCAGAGTCCTGCAGAGAGAAGAGCGGAGTTTAGAGTGATCAAAATATACTGTACATGGACAAAAATGGTGAAAGATGTAGATTAATCTTTTGATCCAAAGGTTAAATAAATGAAATAAAGTAATTAAAATGCTTCTATTACACACAGGGTTTGACAGAGTGAGAGTGAGAGTATAACAGCAGCGCCTGAGCCCCGGGGCACTGCACATGTTTGCCCCCGAGCACGGAGGGTTTCGATTGCAAAACGGCAGAGCTGAGTAACATCCCTCAAAAGCAGTGGTGTCAAAAATGTTTAAAGAGCTGAGGGCCACCCACCAACACCCCCCCACCTTCCTCCACTACTTCCCCCAAACACACGCACTCATCTTGTGGTTTCTGGAACTGTGACAGGACCGAGAACTACATTCTTGAATCCTGTACAAACTCTCTTATTTGCATAGACCTCAAAAGAGATGACAAAAGAGATGATTTTCTTACTAAGCAAACAGACACCCCCAAGAGGTAAGCTTTGGGTTCCCATGTCAATTGTAAAAAAAAAATAAGGGGGATTGTGAGGATTGGATTTGTTTGGAGAGACTCGCAGTGACATTGGGATTGTAAGTATCCCGCCTATGTGGATAAGCCTCCTTTGGATTTTGTCTGAAGTAGCTAATGAACAAATAGCTGCAGTTTACTCTGGATACACAGCTAATTAAATGTGCTGACAGGAGGGAGAGACCACAGGTGTTCATGACCACAGGAGAACCCCAGCTTTAGGAGGAATACGGCGATTTCTCACTCTCTTAATGACAGATAGCTGAGCATTTTAACACCTCACCTGGAAAACCAAAGCATGAAATACTGCACATTCAAACGCCAAATTTCCTTGATGTTTCTGCGACATTACAAACACTAAAGCTAAACTCATACACCTGCTCTGAGGTGCACCTGTCTCCTTCCCTCTTACACCCAGCAGCCTCAGCAAACACACCACAGCTCCATTAGTTACTCTCCATTTCCCCCTAAAACCAGTCGAGTGCAGATGTTTTTACACAGACATAGAGGTTGGGTCGGGGGGGAGCTCGTGTCTAGGGTTTCGCCATTATGTAATTCAATGCATTACATGCTGTCATTGCCCTCTGTCTGTGTCCAACACCTCAAGAGGAGATTCTTATTTCCCGGTCCTTTTGTGCTCTGTGGCCCCCTAGGTGAGTGACAACACAAGCCGAAACAGACCCACTAAAACCTCAGACTTAAAGCTGTGTGTGTGTTAAAAGTATCCGTATCAATTTCCTCTGCAAAACACTCCGTCCTTAAAACTGGGATCTTTCACATGGGGGTCTCATTGCAAATAGGAAGAAGGGGGGTTTCTTTCCCTCCAGACAGAAACCCACCATTAGCTATTTACTGTGTTACACAAAGTCTGTATCGATATGTTTTATGTTACGGATAAAAAGCAAAGTTTGTTTAAAAAAACACCAATAAAACACATATTTTTAGCAGCCATTTAAAAAATATATCCTCTGAGAACTTACTCAGTCTCTTTGGTCATGTCTCCAATCCAAGTCAGCCGGGATAGGTTCCTTTAATTTCAACTCTTTCGCTGTTTTTATGAGCTTCCCTCTCTCCGAGTCAGTGAGTCTATCAGTCTGGCAGAGAAGAGCAGTGACACACAGATGAGTCAAGTGTTGTGATTCCCTCTGAACGGGGGCCCAGATTTATTTCAGCAAACGGTGTGAACCTGCTCTGCTCTGATTGGCTGGGAGGAGCGAAACAGGTGTCTGATAGGACAGGTGTAGGATCATTAACTCTTCCCAGCCTGGAGAGAAACTGGCTTGCATGTGTGTGAGTGTGTGCAGCCAGGAGAGCACTTTGCAAGACAATCCCAGGCAGGAGCGTTATGAATCTCATTATGGCGGCGGATAAAAGAGTGAGATTGGGGATCCCAGAGGTGTGAAAGGTTTGGTAATGACTCTGGAACTCAGCTTTAACATGGTAATGCTTTGTCAGTATCATTTTTCACTCTCCCCCTGGATTTCCATGTCATACTCAGGTTTTAGTTTCTTTATTTCCCAAGGATCAGAGATGCAAAAATGGATACTGTGAAGAGGTGGGCTTAAGGGAAGCTTGTTTAACACATGAAGGTTTTACAACCAAAATAAAGTGGAAAATTACAAGAATTAAAAATGTTGTACACTTAGGATTTAAATGGAAAATAAAATAAATTTAATAATTATTTATTTTTGTTTTAAATTACTTTAAATACATTTATATAAATGTTTTGAATTTTTGTAAAAAGAATTTAGAATTATGCAGCCACTGTCAATTCCTTTAACTGCATTAAAAAGCTGCTTTTTTATCAGTATATTTAATTTTACACAGTAACACAGCAAAATACAGTTAGTATGTGCACACATACACAATTTTATTTAATTTTAGCATTAAAAATAAACAACAAATATCCTGCTGAATAAATCATTTTAATTAATAAACATTTTTTAAATTATTTTTAGATTTTATTTTTTATCACAAATCCCCACCCAGTTTATCCCAGTCCAGCTGACCTGTATTAATTTACTAGTGGTGACGGAAGTGCATAAGCTGAAATAAAACTAGCGACACCACAATTTAAAATCCTCCATTACAAACAAAAGTCCTGCATTCAGAATTATACTTAAGCAAAAGTACAGAGGTATTATCAAAAGTTTATGTTGTCATAATGTACTATATCATTTAGTAATTATTGTTACTGGTGCATTTAAATGCGCAGTAAGTTGTAATTTAATGTTGCAGTAAGTCCAAGTGGAGCAATTCTTAACTACTTTTATATGGTTTTGCACATTTTGATCTACAACAACAATTTTGTAAAATGATTTTGCTGTAAAAACATTAAATCCATAAATTTACAATAGACGTCTAAAAAATGTTGTGCAGTTAAAAGTACAATATGCAACATGTCAATCATAAAACAAGTCTCAGAAATGAGTGGAGGCGGATTTTACGATGCACATTTCAAGATGAAATGTTCACTTTCACAATGACTTCACAGGTAAACACACACACACACACACACACACACACACACACACACACACCTCTCAGCACGTACAGCCAAATCTCACAACTCGTGCTAACAGGAATCCAAAAGCAGTGAAGCTCGTAAGGTCCTCATGTCACTCAGGGATATTATCTTCCACCCACACACTAATGCACACTTACACAAACACACAAACACAAACAGAGACGCACACACACACAGAGTAATGTGCGTGTGTAATTGCACGGGCCTGTTTATCTGTTCATTCGTGTGTGTGCGAGCACTTCTTGCGGCTGGCACCTGAGGGAATCTGGCGTGGTAACACACAAGGGTGCGTGCTGTGCAGCTTGCCCACACACTCACACACACCCTCGTAAATGTAACACACACACACAGACACAAAGGCCCAGAGGCAAGTTGGCGTTAAATCAGAAGAGTAAAAGAAAGCAGGGTGATTTTCTGTGTACTGCACACCTTCATTACTCCTCTGTATATGTCCTAAAGTGCATCTTCACGATTGATATGTAATTAAAGCTTCATCTTTGTGCACTGGACTCTCCGAATGCGGCTGACTGAAGTCTTTTTGTTTCCATGCACCCCTTATGTCAATTTGTGCACATATGCTTCACCAAATATCTCATTCAGACAAATGTGAAACACTGAGTTTTGAAAAGGGGGAGAAGAGAAGTGAACAGAGATGTAACCTGACGTGGGTCAGCCTCTCCTACACTTGTCATCAGCTCGTTGAGGGTGTGAACGGTTTCTCTCGCCTGTGGTTTCTTCCTCTCTCACCCTGTCTTTCTTATATTTTCTCTATCTGTCCTTCATTAGTGCTGCGAGATTAACATATCAAAATGATCAACACTTCCATTCTCACTTCAGTCTCTGTTTCTCTCTCTGCACTTCAAACACAGGACAAATCCTAGAAGGCCCTGATGCTGCACACAGCCCGCCACACAGATGTCCTCTGAAACTAATTTTAATATAGTTTTAGGTCTAAAAAAGCTCTTAAATTTGCAGTGAGGTGCAAGCAGCAATTGCTAAAACCTTTAATTTTACATGGTACCATGCTCTAAATTTAAAGGCTTTTTAACTTTTGCAAAGCAGTGTGCCTTGTTTTTTTCTTTTTCTTTTTTGGTTATGAGTAATTAAAGCAAATTAAAAGTTTAATATGTCCTTCCTTTTTTTGGGTCACAAATATCCTTGGCTCCAAAGAGCACCTGTTTGTGTTACCTACATATGTGACCTAGCGCTCCTCAGCCAACTTACTTCCTAAATATATGTTTAGTCACACAATAATTCTAAAAAAATAGAAAATATAAGAGATATCAATTTAATTGTGAAGGTGAGACGTTTGAGGATTTTAAAAATTTAAATTAGTGTGTAATCACCACATTATAACCTAAGAATTTCAAAGTAGTTTTCTAAAATAAACTATTTAATTTGGTACTTATTATAGCATAAGGACACTGTTTAATCAGTCAGCTTCCAGTGAGCTTCCAGTAGTTTAACATGGATAGTCTTTTACCTAGAGCACAGCAGGTCAAGTTAACATGCAGGGAAAAAAGGAAAAAATTCTACGTATATGGAGAGTAAGAGTGTCCAATCATCATTGAACATTAAATTAATATTTACATGGGTTTAAATGAAACAGCTCTTCCGATAAAGGTACTAACCATCCATTTTCATCCACTTATCGGCAGCAGGAAGCAAAGCACCCCAGACGTCCCTCTCTCCAGCAACGCTTTCCAGCTCCTCCTGGAAATATAGTACCTTTAATCCCTCTAGACCCAGAGCACACTGGAGGGATTCAAGGTACTATATTTTCTATAATCGCTTTAAAATCACATATTTCTTAGTTCACTTTGTACATTTGTATTTTGATTGAACAGAGGTCTTACTGTGGCTATAGTCTGGGACTCAAGATTTAGTTTTGCTGTCTGTTCTTAGTGTTTGGACTGAGCTGGGAAAGGAAGCTTTATGTGCTCTGCTCATCTTACTTGGAATAACCTTCAAAAAGATTGGAAACTACGTGAATTGGTGTCTCTACCTGACTTTAAAGCTCTTGCAAGGACAGGTACGAATGAGTCATTTGGGTCTTGTCATTGTCCGTAGGTGTTCTAATATTGTGTGGCTGTTTTGGCTGTAACTTTTTTTGTGCTGCTGTCTTGGCCAGGTCTTCCTTGCACAAGAGACTGATGGTCTTGCCTAGTTAAATATGAGTTAAATAAAATTAAAAAGTAAATTTTATTTGATATGGACATCACAATAGCATTAGGGTTGTACATCTATGCACAAGAACAAAATGCACTGCGTTAAGTGTTTGTAGCAAAATGCTCATTTGCAACATCTGTCCACAAGAGGCTTTTAAAAAGCAAAATATTTCTACTTTCTCTTCTAAAGCTTTCCAGGAAAGTTCCGAGGAAATTATCAGGAATTTTTTAGCCTCTTAAAAAAAGTGTCTCGAGCTTGCAGAGCACAGAGCCATGCTGACAAAATGAGGGCATGGCTTCCTAAAATATCATTATATGACATATTTAATGTTTTAAGTAATCCCAGATATCGAAACTGTGTCTGCAGGAGTATGAGTAAGGTGAGGTTGCAACAGGGGAAATTTCCTAATTCCCTAATTCACATGTACAGTCACTGTAAGGAAAGAACATGTACCTTTAGACAAACTCTATCTCTACCCTGTGTAAGGATCTAACAAACGTATCTTAAAAATCTTCTCTTAAACATTCTAAATTGTATAAGCGTCCTCATAGAGATCTCTGACCCAATCTGACAAGGTGGGAACGGTGTGTGTGGAAACGGAAGATGGATGGATGTCACAAGATGTTCAAACGACTTCCTTTCATGCCTTGAAACTGGCCCCCTTGGAGCGAGAAACCAAGACTCAAGTGTCCTGGCGCTTTGGTCTGTTGGGTGACTGTTTGTGTGCGTGTGCATGTGAGCACGCAGCCATGCATGGTCGCATACAAACAGAGATCAGCGCTGGCTCTATGCACGACTGCTGCTGAGAAGGAGCCCTCTCATCACCTCCCACTCTATCTCCTTTTCTCTTTTTCCTGTCTCCCGTTGACTCTTCCTTTCACCTATTTTTCCTGCTCCTTGTTTCCCTTACCTCTGTTTGACCACTAACCCTCATGACTTAAACCCTGCACATAAAGATCATGCACATTTAAACTCTCAAACCGCAGTGAATAAGTCACATGAGATGATGAAAACAAATCAAAACAGAAGCTTATTCGTTTCTCTTTTGACCTGCGGCTGATCTTTCTCATCAACTCCTACACAACGCACATATCTCTCCATCTCTCTTTCCTCTGCGTGTGCTCCAATGCCTGTTTGTCATGGAGGAATGTGTGCTGAGGGTTGACAGAGATATAAGGAGCCCGGGGCATGTTGCTCTCTATCCGCTCCTCAGATTGGTAAACCAGTGAGAGGTGCACCTGTTACCGTAAAGCTCTGACAGGTTTCCTTTAATTGCAGTGCTTTTCCTTTTTCATTAGCACAACTTCTTCCTGAACTACTTTTATTTTCCACAAATCATACTTCCTCATTCGAATAATTTTTATTCTTTTCTAGTAATGCAAAAAAATAAATAAATAAAATTGAAAAATTAAAATATCATTAAA